AGATGACAGCCAGTGTGTCAGCCTAGAAGAATCACAAAAATCCTTCTTTAAACAATCTAGCGGCCAGATGAAGACCCCAGGCCAGGAGCCTCTGTGTGTGCTTAAGAAGTTCACTGGGCTGGCATTCCTTTAGATTGCAAAGAAATATACAAGACATGGACTCAGCCTCAAGGCCAAAAGTCCTGCAAAGAGAGGCCCGCCTTGGCCTCACCTAAAGCAAATGTTCTTAGATCTAATTCTCAGAATCAGAATGCAGGAGACCAGAGTTGCCCTGTATGCTTGTTCAGGTTAGACACTGAACACTCAATGGGTCGCCATTTTCATAGACCACAATGTGAAGGGAGCCTTCTATAGGTACAGTAACAGCCTGCAGGACTGCAGAGAGAGGCGTCTGTGCCAGTCTACCACTCACTAATGTCCTGCTCTGTTGTCTGTTCATATTTATGAATAAACTCACCAGTCATTTGTTCAGTCAACAAATAGTCACTGAATGCAAATGAAACATGAATCTCATTCAATCCTGCAAACACTTCTGGTTAGACACTGTTCTTCCCATTAAGCAAATGATAAAACTGTGGCTGAGAGAGATTGATACAGTTGTCTAGATGCGTCACAAGGCTGGTCACCTGACATCCGAATCTGAACCCAGTGCACTTCTCTCCTGGACGGAGCTGCCTGCTTCATTAGAGCGAAGAGTTTCTTGCCCAGCAGCGACCGTAAGAGTCAAGTTCTTGGGCAGGAAGCTGGAAGGCAGGGTCCGGGAGGATACAGTGAGGTGGAGTGAGGGGGCAAGGACCAGCAGGTTTAGAAACTGGTGCTGGAGGCCAACTGGAATGGCAGCTCCTAGTCCTCCAGCCCCCCTTGGTGGATAGGCGTGGAGCCACGTTGTGTGGCAGACAGGCCCCGGAGCTGGGAGTCAGAACTGTGCCCATATTGGGGTACTTTATGGCCTTGAATGGTACTAATTTCTCTGACTTTAAGTTCTTCATCTGTAAAATGGGAATAAAAAAACCTTCTTGAAATACTGTGAGGACTAAACAGGACTGTGGAATTATAGGGGATAGAGAAACATCTGGCCACTGTAGATGTTCCATAAACTGTAGATTCTGTGCTACTTGTTGTTTGGGGATGCGTGCGTCCTGGTTGGGTCTCCGGCATCCCCAGGGCGCCTGTTTTCCTAAGTGGGATGGTCAGGTGCAGGAATTTGTTCCTTCCTGCCTCTCCTTCCCCAAAAGGACATCAGGAGAGTAATGTGTCCCCACTCAGGAATGACTTCTCTCTCTCTCTCCCCCCTACTTAAGTAACAAAGACAGAGGTAATCACGATAGCTAACTTAGCCAAAGTAATTTACATTTTCCTCTCTTGGCAATATGGTTTCTTAGTGATTTCCACGTTTTCAAATCCTTTACGTTTATTCATTTATATCTCTTTTTCCTGTTTCTAAAAGGAAGCTATTCCTGCCCACTGTTTTGGAAGTAAGAAAACTCAGGAACAGTTCTATAGGCTCATAAAGACAGTGAGCCAGAGCGAGAAGGCGCAGCAGGGCGCCAGCGGGGGTGGAGGAACTGAACGAGCCAAGACAGTTAGACCCTTATTGGTTATGGCAAATGTTAAACAGTCTAGAAAATCAGGGGCCTTGGAAAAGACTTGTAAAAATAACACCATGAGAGCTTTACTGTAAAGGCAGGGAACATGAAAAGAGAAGCTGTGGGTGGCATTTGAAACACGTTGGAGCCCTTCCTGGAAACACGCCCTGAACTGCTCTCGCAAAGCAAGGCCTCCTTAGAAGTTCCTCCAGTGGCCCCATAACAGGTAGGTCAAGGTGGGACCCTGCCCCTGGCAGACAGAGGGTTTTCAGTACCTCAACTGGAACTGAGAAATGAGGGGCACACATCACAGACTGCCCCCAGCTGCTCTCCAAGGCTCTGAGAGGGAAGCTGGGCAGCTGCCCAGAGCAGAGGTCTGAGCGATGGTGTACAAGGGAAGTCTCTGTGCAAGAGGACAGAATGGATGTTTTTTTTGATATGATGTAATGATCAAGATAATTCTTCATGGAAATTTTTTTTTTTTTGAGACCATCACACAGCAATCTCTCAAAAGTGACCCTAGTGAGGGTCCTAAGTAAGGACAGTTGCGCAGATGTCCTAAGCGGATGGCTACATGGATGAGTTTCGCTCTTGCCCTGGCCTGCACTGTAAAATGAAATGCCTGTTGGGCTCCAGGAGAAAGTGCAGGCAGCGCCGGGAAGTCAGCTGCTAGCCCTGCCTGCCTCTCTGTATAGTGAAGGCATGTTTCTGATCTCGGAGTTCTTTGAGTTCTCGTTCCCAAGTCGCCATGACATAACCTCTACAGTGAGTCTCTTGTGCTTCACTTCCTAAGTTCCACTGCAGTGAAAGCAGCGGTGTTCATTCGTTCTACTCTCTGACTATTTAAAAGTAAAATGAACTTTTCTCTTTAAGAAATTAAGTATCTGATTTCCCTGACTCTTAGGAAACCTATGGAAGCCTAATTTGAGTCAACCACGGAACCAACAACTGCTCAAACATGTTCATGACATCATGATATCCACAAGTCAGGGGCAAGAGATGCTCTGGGGAAAGCACAAAAGTGTGAAACTGGGCCATTATGACAGCTTTCTTAATTCCAGCTCTGCCACTTACTGACCCTGTGTCTTGGGCAGGATACTCAACTATGAAATGGACACAATAATAACATATATTCATAGAGTTCAGATGAAGATAGAAAGAACACATGTAAAAAAACCCTTAGGACTGGGTCTGGCAAAATAAGAATCTGTATTAGAGATGATTATTATGATTATTGTTACTATTATTAATAAATTGCTGGTCTCTGACACATGAACAGTGTTATGTGATGAAAAGACCATGCATGACCTTAGAGTGTGACCTTAAGCAAATTATTTAATCCGTCTGAGCCCCAATTTTCCCTCATCTGTGAAATAGGGAAAATAACAGGAATCTCTTGGGGATTAAAGGACTCCAGGGAATAGATGCCAAATATATCTTTGCTCTCTTGCGAAAGAGGACTGGAAGTTTTGAACAATTATTCTGATCCAGAGAGCAGGTTCCAACATTTATAAAGGGCCTACGTAAATAGAGGATATTACTGCAACTATTTGCACTTCTATCAGCCCCTATGCTGAATAATCAATAATAAATGTTGTTTAAACAAATGGTGTAATTTTCCAATCTGTGTTGTTCTAAACTGACCTTTACTCCGCATTGCCATTTGTAATGCATGCATAATTCATTGATGAAGCAGAAGGAGAAACAAGGATGTTGGCCTAAGTGGCCCTTTTTGGGTTGTTTCTGATGATTTGTTATAACCCTATAAATAAAAAAACAAAACTTGTCATTGTAAATATGCATTGTGTTATCTAGAGGTATATTTGGCGAGTAAAATAATAAAAGCTAGCCTGCCTCTCCTGGAAATCTCAAGGTATAATTAATTGCTGGTAAGATTTATTCTAGAATTTGAGAGCCCTGAAGTAGAAGGGAAAATAAAGGCCACTGTCAACACAAATGCTACAAGAAATGCCTAAAGGGCAGAACCATTTGCCATTTGCAGGAGGTGTTTGCCAGCATACCCATCTGGAAGGCAAAAAGGGTGATTCAGACGGTGTTTTTGTTCAGGTGGAGCTGTGTGTGTGGATGTATACACATATACTTTCTAATAAATCATAAATCAAGCGGTTTGCAGAGCTAACTTCTTTCAACTCCTGTCTGTTACTTTTTCACACACAGGACAGACATATACACACACACCCAACCTCCACCTGGAGAAAGTGTGTGTGTGTGTGTGTGTATGCCCACATGCATACACACACACACACACACACACACACACATACTTTTTTTTTAATAAAGCATAGATCGAGAGGTTTTCAGAGCTAGCCTCACTGACCTCTACCTCCAGCCTGCTGTGTGTCTACCTGCACAGACTCACTGTGCAATAAACCCTTTCAAGATGGGAGACAAGTGCAAGACACCCGTCTGTCCCCCGTGTGCTCCCTCAGATCATAGCTGATGACATGTCAATGAAATGGGGCTTCCTTGGGTCCCAGAGATCAAAATAAGGGCTTAACCTGCAATTTACTCTACAAGTCCCAAGACATTTGCCAGATCTGAAGACTTCATTCTAATCTTCCCTGCTGAAAAAATAATCAAATATTCCCGCAAAGATGTATTGACAACTCTTAATTAACCATGCTAATGGGGGGAAGAGAGAGCATGGATAAATGAAATTCACACATAACCTAAAACCTTCATTTGGCCATTAATTCCAACTTCTCCTTCACTAACCCTTGCAGAAGGCAGGGGGCAGGGGGGATTAGTACCTGCTTGAACAGTAGAATTACTTGATGTTTATGGCTGCACCACAACTGCCATTTGTGGGACAAGCTAATAAGCAAGGAAGAGCCCGGGACACCATGTGTTCCAAAGGTGTCGGGTTTGGTGGCAATGTGTTTTGGGTCCTTCGGTGTACAGGAAAATATGTTTTAGGCATATTTCAGAATGGAGTTAGCTGGAATGTTTTTGCAGCAATAGAGGCAGATTTAATGGAGACTTTCTGGTTCCCTACCCATCACTGTTGCTACCCAAACAGAAGGGAAGGAGGAGAGGAGGCAGAGGGAGTGCGGCTGGCACATGTGCCGGGTCAGACAGCGATTGCTTTGTAATGAGCTGCTGACTGCAATGGATCAAGTGTGCAGAAAGGGCAGAAGCTGAAGTCCACGCATTTTCTAAGGCAAAGGAAAGATGAGAGGGCAGGAAGTTTGCCTAAGGAGCTGATGAACTAGCACTGACTGAGTCCCTTCTATGATCCAGTCCCACACACACACACTGCAAGGAGGCACCTTGGATGGACGCTCGGCAAAGAACAGAAAGGGGCTTTCTCCTCCTTCTTCAAACATCTGCACAGCCACACCAGGTGGCCAGAGCCAGAGCTCTGGGGCCTTGGGCAAGTTATCCAAACAACTGTGTTCCCACCCCCTTGGCTGGTCTTCTCTGTGCCCAGACTGTGCCCAGCACAGTGTAGACACCCAGTAAGCAATCCTTAAAATACGAATAGCTTGTGTCTGTCGGGCACTGCTGACTGGCCAGGCACATTATATGACCCACCTCATTTCATCACGCCCACAGAACCTTGTCTGTTGTTACCCCTGTATTACAGACGAAGAAACAAAGGCACACAGGGAGTGATGTCACCTGCCAGAGTTACAGAGCTGGAAAGGAGCAGAGGTAAGCATCAGACCCAGGCCCTGAAGCTGCAGAGCCAAGCTCCTAACCCTGACACAGGCATTTTTTGGAGCTCTCGCTCCTGTGTCAGACAGACAATGTGCTCCTAGAGTTCCCTCATCTAAGCCCCTACGAGTTAGAGATCACTACCATTCTACCAGTGAGGAAGCTGATCTCGGAGGGAGAGGGGCAGTGAATTGCCAAGGTCACAGAGCCAGGGAGTGGTGAGTAGGCGCAGCACACCCGGGGACAGTCTGTCCTTCCAGGTGAAGGTAAGGATTCAGAACACAGGTCTGCAGTGGGTTTGAATCACTCTGTGTACGGCTGCTCACTGGGGACCTGGCCTTAGCCCTCTGATTACTGTAGAACTTTATTACTTTCTGAATTCCCTTTGCTTATCTCACTTGCCCCTTCCTCCCATTTTCCCCTTCCAGGGCCCCTTTCTCCCCAGCCAGGCACCCAACCCCCACCCCACAGCCATCTCGTCTCTGCTGTGAAATGCTCACCATTCAAAAGCTGCACAATGGTTTGCGGTTTGCGATGCTTAGGAAGAAAGGGACCATATAAATACAAATAATCAAGCTCTAAATTGACATGATCATTTCAGTTCACCTAAGTTTTTACAAAAACTCTTTCCATGGTCTGATGTCTCCCACCTGCACTGCTGGGTGTATCAAACTCCAGGGGAAACAAACGCAGAGGAAAGTGCGGGGCTCCCGACCCCTTGTCACCTGGGAACTGAAACCAGCTGATGAAGCTGCACAGCTAAAACTCAGCTCAGGCTTCTCCTGAAAATGTTCCTGGGCTCCAGGTCACATCCTAAAAATTCAGGGGATTAAGGGACTGTGGATTTACATGTAAAAGGTAAGAAGAAAATCACAGGGGAGCAAATGTGGTGTGCGCTGGAGGCAGCTGCCCTCACGGTGAGGGGTCCTGAGAAGGGCGGCGGTGTGAAGGTCAGCAGTGCATGTGGTGAGCAATGGGAGCTGGGTCACCCGGTGCAAGCAGTCAGTGGGTGCACTGTCTGTAGGGACTTTAGAAGCAGCAACAGACTGACCAGAGGCCGGCCGCTTGCCATCATCTCCACGCCTGGCCAGCCTACTAAACAGGGTCAGGGGAAACACACCCCTGCCTCTGGGCGGCCCTGGAGCGATAGGCAACCCATGCTCTGCACTGTCTCAACAAATAAATACTCCCTGAAGGACTGAGCCTGATAAAAGTGGTCTGGGGAAGGGCAGAAACCCTGCTTATTTCTGGGCAGAAAACGTGTAAACTGACTGACACTGCGATACAAGAAATACATCTTTCAAGAAGCACCATACCATTTTTTCTTATGTGAAATAGTAACACATGCCCACACAGTCGTTGCTACAGGCTGACTGTGGCTACAAAAAGCACTCCCAGGGCCCAGGATTTATTTCCCTTTCTCAGGCACCCAGGACAGATCATGAATACCCCTCACCCGCTGATCCATTGCTCGCACTTACAGACTGGCACCCAGCACTCCCCCCTCCACCGCCCCGTGAACAAGGTTCAAAGAACAGACTCCTGAGTGATGGTCAGAGGGGAACTGGCTTAGGAAGAGGAAGTGGAAAATATTAAGAAATCAGCATTTAAAAGCAAAGCCCCTTCCACGCCACAGAGGACACTTCGCTATTCATCCTGTTCCCTGACTCTCTGCTTCACCCTCTTGATGGAAGACGGCTTAACTGACATAAAGACCAGCTGTACATGAACAGCGGTGATTGATGGAGCCATTTCAAGCATCGGCCAAAAAATGGCACTAAAAGATGCCTTGGGCTTCCTGTTAACTGTTTTATGAGGGTACCAATACTTTTTCCCCTCTTGTTTAAAGACCAAATTAGCAGAACAAGTACTTTCAAAAACAGCATATTGTTATACCGAGATCGGAAAATAAAAGTGGGAGGCCTTTGGGATGTTAGCGTATGTGTGAGGGAAGTCAGGGTGGTTATAAAAGGCATTTGCCATTGGTAGCTTTTGGTTTTGGGGCACACGATTTAACGGGGCTTTAGTTAACTCCATGTAATAACAAACTGCTATAAAGAAGTCTTACTATACAAACATAATGTCTCAGTGGCAACAGAAAGAAAATCCAGTCTTTGGTGGGAGTCTTTAAAAAGAGTGCACAGATGCTCCAAATAAGCTGTGGTAAAGGGGAGTGGGGCAAATCAGCTGCCAGACAACAATGAGGTATGGCAGATTTGCTCGGCTTGTGCTAAAGGGTAACTAACCTCTTTCCATTCAAGGAGAATGATCCATTTGTAATACAGTGTCTTATTCTTCAGAATGTTTCTCAATAAGAAATGGAAAAGAGCAGAGGTTCCAAGTGTGTTACAGCATCCCACATTTTTGTTCTCCTTTCTGGAACTCAGAGAGGGCCATTTCCCCACCTTCCTTCCTTCTTATTTGAAGAAGGCTAATTATGACCTGGGAGCATCTTCATCCTGGCACTTGAGACTCAGCCATTGTCGAGGAAGAATATTGTCCGTGCTGCACTGCAGGAACTAACTTAGGAAGCTTCCAAATTTGGAACTCCTTTTCAGAAGCCTTGGGACCGATTCTATGCCCTGGCATTCTATGGGATGACAAATATCCACTCCGTTCCCCCTTGTCTTTGAAGACGTGCACATTAGTGAAACATAAAGCTCACTGGGCTTTTACAATAAAATAAGCTGGTTATTTGGCCCATCCAGAGTAAGTTCTTATCTCAACATAGTAAATGAAAAGGCCCACTTACTTGGGTTCTCTCCTGGCTCTCCAGCCAAGCCCAAAATACTCTTAATTTCTTGCATGTTTCTGGCCCAAATTATATATATCAGGAGTTGTCTAGCATGTGTACCCTTGACCTAGAAATTCTACTTCTGGCAAATCAATCCCATAGAAATCCTCGCAAATGGGAAGAGTTTTAGAACCAAAGATGTTCATGGCCTTGTAACTGACAGATGACAGGAGTTAGTAACAACCTAAAACTCTAGTTACTGGGAAAATGTTGAACTAAAAATCAGGGTTCACCTGTTGGTTTCTATCGGGCAGCCACTCCAAGGGCTGTGTGCAACAGTCTGGAACAAGTGGGAGGAGTGAAATCTTAAGTGAAGAAAAGAATCTATTATCTAGGTAGCATGATGACCACTGTGTTAAAAAAAAAAAAATACCTGGAGTCCTTGGGTTGTGGTAGCAGAACGAATGTAGAATTAGCCTGTGAGGGAAGCTGCCACAGGTGTAAATGCTGAGGTTATGACACAGGGTAAAACAAGCCGCGGGGGTTAGAGGATGGCACAAACATGTGCTAACATGCTCCGAGTGCATGTATGGGTGCTTTCTCTTTTCTCAACTTATGTGTAATTTCCACAAATCTAATGAGCATGTTCTTATTTTATATGGGAAATTGCTAATTTTAAGACAAATGGAGTGTCAAGAGAAAAAAAAAAACCCTTCTTTTAGCTTCTGGGATGTGGGATGTGTTCCATAAGGCTTGTGTGCTTGGGACCCACCTACTTCCTTGCACACTGACCGGCAGCTCTTCACTCTGAGCTCACCTGGGAAGGCTGAGCCCTGAACAAGGCACGGAGATGCCCCTTACAAAGAATGGGTTTCTTCCAGAATTTCACTGCTGAATTTGGTCATCACGCTCAATCCTTTCCAGAGACCGTTCCTCAAAATGACCTGAGAGAGTGAATTTACTGATTGACAGAGGTGATGTGACTGAAAAAGGAAGCAGGAAAACCCGGGGAAGTGCAGGGCTGGGGGAGGAATCCTAGTCCTGACGCCTCGCAGCTGTGTGGACTTAGACACGTTGCCAAGCCTCCTGGAGTCTCAATTTCATCCTCTTCAACAGGAGAATAGATTGTAAGAAAGTTTAAATGAGGCAAGACATGAAATGTGCCATGAATGCCAATTTCTCATTATCTATGATCCCTGATGCGAATCCCCAGCCATGTATATGCCAGACACAAAGCTGAGTACTTCCTCCTATAATCTTCCTGAGACTATTTCATTCAAGCCCCAGCAGGAAGATTCTGTTATCACCTCCTGGTCACCCATGAGAATCTCGAGATGAAGTTACTTGCCCACCAGGCGGAACACGGGAGAGCCAAGACTGATAGCCAGAGCCGGAGATGTCCCAACCACCCTGGACCCCGTCCACCACTTCCTGAGCCAAAATGAGCAAGCCACGCAGGAAATCAAGTGGTAGAGTGGAGACTGGGTCAAGAACAAGGGCTCCCATGACATAAAATGCAACAGAGCGTGGTGTGCTCATACTGCAGGAAGGGACCTGACGGGACTCTGGAGGACTCACGGTCAGGGGAGGACAGTGCAGGACTTGAACTTCACTTACTCCTTCTGAGGAGGTGTTTCTGTTTCCACCCTCTCCTGCCCCACAACTCCCGTGGGAACCGCGGACAGGGCAAGAGTTGAGTAAGAAGGGGGACTCGGGATGCTACCCCGCCTGCCTCACCTTCTTAATAAACCACCTTGAACCCTGGTTCCAAGTCTCCCTCACACAAGGATTTAGGTCTCATTTTCAGTGGAATGTTACATTTGGTCAGACCACGAAGAAAACTCCTCATTATAAACTAGGAAATGTGTGGAAAGAGAATTATTTACCCAAGGCTGCGCTCAATCAGTGTTGCCTGAATATTTATTTAGCCCACACACGGAGAAGTTGTGTTAATGTTTGCCAAGGAATGTGGCTTTATAAAGGAACTGGGTCAAAAAAGACAGCATATCATTTTACAAATAACTTCAAAATTGCTTAAGTTAAATGGCCAGGCTCTCTCAGGTTTGTCTTTTCAGAACGCTGCAGAAACAATATCCAGAATTATGTCTCATAAAATACAGGTATTACCAAGTGGCTGTTTAGCCCATTAAAGAAAATGGAGAGTGAAATCTGAATTATTTCTACCTGAGGCAGAAGCAGACAGAGTTACCAAAATTATGTTAGGCCAACGTCGCAATCCTTCAAGTCGGCAGGGCAGCAAGGC